AGTCCCCTCCCATTCTACGGTTTAGGCCTACTTAGAAAAGAAGAATAACACATCAATCAAGGACATTACATTACAGCGATTTAGTGAATTCCAGGACGATGATCATCATGAAAATGTGGATACGTTGTGAAAAACTATCAGCAGGAGGAATTTGTAACAGAGAAATAATGTCTTTATAACTTAATTGAGGATAAAAAGAGTACTCACTCGGAAATACTTTCCAAAGTGGACAAATACACAAAGCCGCCACAGCAGAATACAGGAGTGCTCGATTCACAATTAAAAAGAGTTAAAATTGTATTGATTTAAAATTCAAAGAGATTATTGAAGAATAGCAATAGTCATCTCAACCTCGTTTTGAAGAAATTGTTGGCAGAGAGTAATCGGAAAAGATCTAAATTGTTTCAGTTGTTAGTCTTAACCTATGCAACTTTTACTTTTCTTTACTTTTCCATCCTCTGTTGCCGTAAAGGGTCAAGGGAAGATTCCGTTTTCTATGGTAGATCAGCTCTGCGGCTCTTTCAATGGGATATTATAATTTTGCAGGGTTTCCTTGACTCCCTTAATCCATCTTTTGCTTGGTTTACCTCGTCCTTTATAGCCCGAGTACTTGGTGTTATAGGCTCTCGAGGCTGGCTGGTTAGGTGACATTTCGTAACAGCCTAGGTGGCCGAACCAATTTTATTCTGTTTTTCTATGAGAACACGTCTTGTCCTTTATATCAGAAAAAAAGTATGTTGTTTACATAAAGAGCTGAAGGTCCAAAGCAAGGAGACGCTACAACTCCAGATTTCTCCTTTTTTCAGAAGTACCACTCTCTTCGGCTGCTGAGTAGCCCGATTAGGCTCATGTCACTACGTACTGCGTCTGCACCCCTAACTTCTAGAATATGAAGCAAAAGATAACAAAGTGGGTCGTCATTTTCAAAGTGTCGTTTGCTTTCCGAAAATCTGTTCCCGATAGTATACACATGATAACCCGTGTTGTCGTTTGAGTTGATTTAGTTATACACTAGTTACCCCCCTTTAGCTTAGAACAAAATAACCAGTATCTCGCCATAATTATCGTCACATACTATGGTGGTTGTCCACATTTGCTTTCGATACTTTCTTCATTCCCTTTGAGCTTTCAGGGCAATTGTTAGAAGGCTCTAGGTTAAGGTATGAGTTTATTTCAAGTAACTCTGAGCTGGTATCGTAATCTTTAGCCCTCCCTTTCGAAACATGAATATTCAAAGGAAATTGGATTTCATGATGAGATGACCTGCTGGATAGACTGACTTCCCTCACCTCCTGGAAGTATTGGATACTGCTTGTGTGATCTACATCTTCAGACTCTACGCCGTGCGAGTTATTGTTATTCCCTGATTCATGTTCAATTGGAGGGAAAAGATCTAATATACTGCATCCGTTCATTGACATATTAGGAGCACACTTCTGGTTTTCAACGGTTACACTTGACTTTGATTCCCTTGGCGCCACATATGTTTTGAAAGCTGAAATTCGGTCATTGTGTCCCAGAGAAGATGCTGAGTTCAGCTTTTGTGTGCTTATTTTCATGCAATTGGTTTCTTTAAATTTTAAAGTCTCTTCGTGGCGTTGTAATGCAATTAAATTTGAAGCGCACCGTACTTTGTAATTCGTACTAGTCGGGCTCGATCGAAAACAGGACAGACTATTACCTCCTCTACCCTCACTGTGCTTGTTTGCTGGATCCAATGACCTTGGTAATCCACTGTTGCATGGGATACGTATTTCTTCTCTGACTAATGTCTTATTCTTGTACTCTTCAACATTTAAAGATTCCATACCAATATTGCCGGTAATGCAATCACAAAGGCTTGACTTTTCTGGTCCGACTCCTGTGCCTGCATTCTTCAGCAATCGGCTGCTCAGATTTTCAGGACATCCATACTTTTCGTTCTCTCGCTTTGCAGAATCGCCTTTTACTCGAGAAACGTTATTGTTGTTGTTCATATACCGTCCTGTATGCCTGAACGGTGATCGATACGACTTAGAGCTCCTGCACAAGGCATCAGGAGAACTGTCTCTTCTTAGAGGGCGCCTTGCCGACCTCCTGCTCGCTCTCGAAGGATAACGTTCATTGGGGACGGCTGTTGGGTGCCTCTGTCGTGTTCTTAGCCCTGACTTGCTGTTTGGCTTCGTCCTCGGGACTTTCCCACTGCTCTGAGACCGGGTAGATTTACCATTATCTTCACGGTTTCCTCTACTACCTTGCTTCGAGCGCAGCCCGGCAGAGCCACCAGTATAATTGGTACTTTTGTCCTCGTGTGATGCGTCATGACCAACAGTTGATTTCAAATTGGACTCTTTAGACTCTTTCTTTTGACTGAAACGTATTCTGTGAGATTCTCTATCAGTGTCTTCACCCAAGATTTGGCTCCCTTCCGAATTTGCCACTTGTAGCATGAAGGAGCCGGGGGTGAACTTGGCCGATGAGGCTGAGGACAGTATCATGACATTGTGAACATTAGCGATCCCCCATAATGTTAGCATTAAAATGCTTTTAAAAATAGAATTTTCTCTATGAAATGTATTCCTGCCTGTGTACTACTTTGCCTGTTTCGCAGTCTTTTTGGATTCTCCACTCTCTATTCGCAGATCTATCTATCTATCTATCTATCTATCTATCTATCTATCTATCTATCTATCTATCTATCTATCTATCTATCTATCTATCTATCTGTCTGTCTTCTATCTGTCTGTCTTCTATCTATCTGTCTATCTATCTATCTATCTTTCTATCTATCTATCTGTCTGTCTTTCTGTCTGTCTGTATTTAACTTGTAGTCGCTTATCTCCTCATGGCTTTGTTTGTGAGTCATCTGTCTTTCGACGCATAATATTAAAATTTCTATCTTTCTTTCTTTCTCTCTTTCTTTCTTTCTCTCTTTTTTTCTTTCTTTTTTGTTTGTTCGTTTTTTCTTCATTTCTGTTTTTCATTCTTTTTCCTTTCTTTACCGTTTCCTCTTATTCTCTCTCGCTTTCTTTCTTCCTGACATTTTATTTTCCTTCCGTGTACCCCGATCATCGGTATGTGTATATTTCTTTTTTGTTTGTTTTATATTTTGTTTGTTTTTGTTTTGGTAAGTGTTTGACGGCGCTCGCAACTGATTAAGGTCATATGAGCGCGTGGGACACACCTAACATTTCCATTTTGTAGGAAATTTTGAATTTTGCCCGGGTGGCGGCCGAAACCTACTCTTATCGATTTTGAACCACCAAGGTATCTTTAACGTGCGCAAAAGCACACGAGACCTCCGAGATTTTTCGCCGTTGTCAGAGAAGGCTAGGTGTAGATCTTTTCTATCAGAAGATCAGGGGTGCGGATGAAAGGCAACAGTAAGAAGGAGCCAAGGAGAAGCAGTGGAAAGGCTACAGGAAGAGTCAGGAGCCCAGGGGAGGTGAGGGGTGGGGGCAGAAAGTGGAGACGAAAGCAGACCACAGAAATGGTTAGAGAACAGGAAAGGAGGTGAAAGGAGATAATTTTAGGGAAGAAAGTTTGTCCGTCGCTACCCGGATTCGAACCCCGGACCTTTGAAGGAGAGACCAACACCTTAACCTAATTGGCCATGAACGCTCCCTTATGTGTATATATTCACGTAATAGCAATTTATTAATATGTATTCAATTTCACCGGGTTTTTTTTTTACTTGATTATCAGTCTGTGTACCCACATGCACAGGTAAGTATGAAAATGTGTCTAAGAGAAAGAGAGTCAGGGAATATAAAGCTAGAACGTGAAAAGGAAAGAAAAGAAACAGAGAAGAGTGAAAAAGCGAGAAATATGGACCGAGAGAAAGAGAAAGGTATAGTGAACTGAAGAGGAGAGAGAGAGAGATAGAGAGGGGGGGGAGAGAAAGAGAGAGAGGCAGAGAGACAGACAGACAGTGGCGTCGGTAGCCTAGTGGTTATGCTCTCGGACTCGCAACCGTAAGGTCGTGGGTTCGAATCCCGTCAGGGACCC